CATAGGGATGGTATTACCAGTTGAAGAGTAGTACCTGGTTTTCACTAGATGTTACCCTTGGAGTTCAGCCCAGAAAGTTCATTTTCTGTCTCAGAAATTCTGACCGGAGAATTTTTTCCTTATGCTCTCAGAGTGCCTGCCATATGCCTTTTACCCAGAAGTGGCTTCTGTCTAGCCACTCTACCATAAACACAATCAATCAAGTGTTTTTCTGAGATGGTTGTCCTTCTGGCAGGTTCTCACATCTCTGCTGAGAACGTCTTAAGCTCTGTTAGCTCTGCTGTCGCCACTGGGTTCTTGGTCACTTCCCTGACCAAGGCTCTTCTAGGCTGGTTACTGAGTTTGCATGGCCAGGTCTAGGAAATGTCTTGGTGGATCCATACTTATTTTATTTCGCAGTGATGGAGACCACTGTGCTCCTGGGGACATTCAAAGCTTTAGAAATGGTTTTGTGACCCATGCCTCGAAATAATTTGATTGTGGGGGACTAAGGAGAGTTTCTTGGACTTCATCGCTTGAATTTTGGTCTAACATGCACTGTGAATTGTGGGACCATATATACATAGGTGTGTGCCTTTCTAAATCATATCCAATCTATTAAATTTGCCACAAGTGGGCAAATTCCAGTCAAGTTCTAGAGACATCACAAGATAAACAAAGCAAATAGGATGTACCTGAGCTTAGTTTGGTGTGCCTTAGTCAAGGGTCTGAATGAGAGATTTCAGTTTTTGATTTTTAATAATTTTGCAAAAAAAAAGTCTAAAAGCTTTTGCTTTTTCATTACGGTTTATTGTGTGTAGACTGATGGGAAAAGTAAATGTAATCCATTTGAAATTAAATCTATTACACAATAATGTGTGCAATAAAACTGAATGGGTCTTTCCAAACCTACTGTAAATACATTCTATTATTTTGGTTGGGAGGAATATTTTGTCAATTATAAGATCAATATAGCTAACGTTAGAGCTGCGTACCGACTGTGCCTTTGCAAATTATTATATATACACACTTACTGTCCATTTTAATTGGAACATTTGTACACTTGCTCATTTATTCAGTTATCCAATCAGACAATCTTGTACATTATGCATAAATTTATGCAGATACAGGTCAAGAGCGTCAGTTAATGTTCACATCAAACATCAGAATGAGGAAAAATGTGATTTCTGTGATTTTAACCATGGCATGGTTGTTTGTGTCAGATGGACTGGTTTGAGAAACTGCAATCTCCTGTGATTTTCACATACAACAGTCTCTATAGTTTACACCGAATGGTGCGAAAAACAAAAAAAAACATTGAGTGAACAACAATTCTATGGGTGTAAATGCCTAGTTGATAGGAGAGGTCAGAGGAAAATGGCCAGATTGGTTTGAGCTGTCAGGAAGGATATAGTAACTCATATAATCAGTCTTTACAACCATGGTGAGCAGAAAAACATTTCAGCATGCACAAAACATTGAACCTGGAGGTAGATGGGCTACAACAGCAGAAGACATTGAGTTCCACTCCTGTCAGCCAAGAACAGGAATCTGAGGCTATCATGGGCACAGGCCCTCCCAAACTGGACAGTTGAAGATTAGGGGAAAAAAACAAAAAACTACCTGGTCTTTTTCCAGTCTTCAAGGTTTCAGGTTGATGTGAACCTATCGTGTCATTACTACTGTGACCAACAAAGGGGGGTGCTTGTTATAGCAGTTTTATCATCATCTCACACTGATATTCCCCTATTTGCTTGAATCTTTAAAAAAATAAAAAAGGTCAGCCAGTCCACCTTCAAGGTAAGCCTATCATTTGAGATACTTACTGAGATATACTGTTATAAATTACTATATTTGCTGAATAAGGTTATTAAATAGATGAATTTAGTTAAAGTTGTTGTAGCTAGCTAACTATACTGGCTAAAGGCTGTGTAATAAGCTACATTAGCTATTATGACCATGAAACGGTCAGGTATTAATGTCACAGCTGTAGAAAAGAGTAACCCATAGAGTAATACCATAGAGTAACCAGTTTTTTTTTGTTTTTTTTTTAAACGTATCAGTTTATTTACTGTGGACTAACTCTATTAATATCATATTCATAAATCATATTCATTTCATCTCACTCTTCATTCTTTCAGGATTGTGTAAGTATTATATAGTTGTCTCATAATCATCTAAATATGCTATTATGCTGTGATGTAGTTCTGATGTACTTTTGTCTATTTTTTTATTTAGCTACTGTCTCTTCTGCTTTTATTCTAGCCAGACCTCCAGGATCCTGAGGATCCCCAGGACCCCTGAACTTACATAAACTTCACTCACCATCTTACTGTAAACTATGATTTTGTTTGTCACAGTTTACCATTTTACAAGTTAATTGTCCCTTTTTTCTTCATACATATCAACATTGGTTATTTCAATGATACCTGCCTCCCAAATGAAAAAATATCCTTGGTTTTAATTTCAGAAATCTGGTCACCTTAGCATATGTAGGACAAGATTCTGAGATAGTTTGGGGCGTGGTCATAGATAGGGGTAGAGCTAAATTCAGATAACTGTAAGTCTGATAGAGCTGAAATTTGATATACTGGATCTCTATGCTATAATAATGACCTGATTACTTAAAAACACGGCAGGCATTTGACAGGGTAAACATTGAGCTATCCTCATAAAACTTGAACGTTGTGTCCCTCTAGGGACTCCCTAGTAATTGACATAATCTCACTCAACTTGGCCACCGGGGAGTGTGATTCACACTTCTGCACATTAAAACAAACATATCTCTTGCAAAATATGTACAGTGAAACCTCTTTTTTCCCCCCTTACTTTGTTTCCTTACCTCATAAAAATTTGCCTTTTGGACCATTTAGCTTCATCCACTACTTCATCCATTACAAACCTACTTTTGAGAACTTGTCCTAGGATTTTTGACATTTCTTCACAAATTTGGTGGCACCTTACTCAAAAAACCTCAATAACTATCAAAAGCATGTTGAGATTTCTAAACAATATAGCCATCACATGCCAATCATTGCATGCCGAAGCTTAATTTACTCAAACATCTATAAGATAGGGTATCATTGACTATCCTGATGCCCTACTACTGGTTGGAATTCTCATAGGTTGAGTTCGCTTGCTGCTGCTGGGGGTGGCCCCACATGGACGGCCTGAAGATCATTGGGATTGCTGGGGATAGTGCCGCTTGGGGGCCATGGAGATGGCTTGGGGATCTCATATGGGGAGTTGTACCATGATGGCTTGGGACTGTGATTGCTGTGGTGGCTTTGGGGCTGCGGATGCTGCAAGCAGTTTTGCATCACGTCTCCATCAGTGAACAGTGGATAGGTTCAACAAACCAGACTTCATGTGAAAACTGTGATGAATTTACTGGTTGCACAACTGCACTATTTGTCCATTTAATACACAGTTATAGAAGGGATTTATTTATAATTGCACTATCCATTCTCACCCAGATGAGGATGGGTTCCCTTTTGAGTCTGGTTCCACTCACGGTTTCTTCCACATATCGTCTCAGGGAATTTTTCCTTGCCACCATTGCCTCTGGCTTGCTCATTAGGGATAAATTCACACATTTACAATTTTTTAAAATTTAATTCAATTTGAATGTATTTATTTCTGTAAAGCTGCTTTGCGACCATGTTAAAGCGCTATACAAATAAAATTGAATTGAACTGAAGCAATGTTGAAAGTAGAAACATAAATCCACTTTCCTTTGGGTCATTTTGAGTTTAACATGATGTGATTCCAGCATTGCGAATTTGTAAAAAAAAAAAACATTGTTCAATATTTTCGCTTCTTCTCCTGCAAATTTTGTCCACTCACAATTTTTTTCATGAGAACTAAATTTCTGATATGTGGGACAGTTTGACCATAATGCACAAGCGAATTTCATGGCAAAGTTGACAAGAAGAAGTGAGAGGATATCTTGGCAACAGTGTGATGTATTGAGACCAAACTTTGTATGAGAGTGAAGGACCAGGAGAATCCAAGAAGTTTTGTCTAAATTCACCTACAATCATGGGAAAAAGAAAGTACACCCTCCTTCAATTCTATGTTTTTTATTTATCAGGGCCTAAAAAACAATTGTGTGGTCCTCAACAACTTCTATAAACAAACAAATAACCTCAGGTCACAACAAAACAAACACACAATTCATTAGGTAGTCATTTTTTCCAAAAAGTAAACCAACATTCAGAAACCAGGTGGGAAAAGATAAGTACACCCTAAAATTCTTTAACATGTAGAACCACCTTTAGCAAAAATAACTTGAAGTAAACTTTTTCTGTAGGAGGTTATCAGTCTCTCACATTGTTTTGGAGGAATTTTGGACCACTCTTCTTTACAACATTCCTCCAGTTCATTGAAGTTTGAGGACATTTATTTATGCACAGCTCTCCTAAGATCCCACAACAGCATTTCAATGGGAGTGAGGTCTGGACTTTGACTTGGCCATTCCAACACCTTGATTTTTCTCTTCTTTAGTCATTCAGGTGTCAATTTGCTGGGGTGCTTGGGGTCATTGTCTGGTTGCTTTGACCCAATTTCTCCTCAGCTTAAGGTATTAGACAGATGACCTCACATTTGTCTCAAGAATATTCTGGTATAGTGGAGTGGAGTTCATTGTTGTCTCAGTGACGGCAAGTTTCAAATGTCCAAGGCTGATAAAAAAAAGCCTAAATCGTTACCTTTCCACCACCTTGCTTGGCAGTTGGTATGAAGTATTTGCTGTGATATGCTGTTTTTTTTCACCAAATATAGTTCTATTCATTATGACCAAACATCTCCACCTTGGTCTCATCTGTCCAAAGAATATTGTTCCAGAACTTTTGTGATTTGTTCAGATGCAATTTTTAGAAAGGAAGAACTTTTTTCCTCCACCCTTCCATGAAAGCCATGCCTGTTCATCCAATGTCTGTACCCCTTATCCTACACAGAGTCATAGGGAAGCCTATGTCACAGGGTGCCAACCCATTGCAGGGCACAATCATGCACGTGTATGCCAGAGGCAGGAATTGAACCCCCAACCCTGGAAATGCAAAGCAGCCATGCTAACCACTAAACCACCATGTCCCCCGCCATACTGCTTCAGTCTTTTTCTGATTGTGCCATCATGAACAATAAACATTTAATGTGCTTTCAGAGGCCTGTAAGTCACAAGATGTAGCTCTTGAGTTATCCTTTATATCTCTGAGTATTCTGATCTTGGACTGAATTTGCTGGAACACTCACTCCTGTGAAGACTGGCAACTGTCTTGAAGACTCTCCATATGTTAACAATCCTTCTCACTGTAGAATGGTGAATTTTAAATTGTTTGGAGATGGCCTTATAACCCTTCCCAAATTGATGAGCAGCAACAATTGCTTCTCTGAAGGTCATGGCTTATGTCCTTTCTTCTTGGCATGATGTAGACACACACCTGAGTGCTCCAGAACACCAAACTGCCAAAAGTTATGTTTTTATAGAGGTCCTCACACTTCTTGATGATTAACTAATCTTGTGCATTTCATTAGTAACACCTGGCTGCTACTTACTCTTTTAATGATTGTGGAAGTAGGAAGGGTAAACTTATTTTTTCCCCCACCTGGTTTCTGAATGTTGGTTTACTTTTTGGGAAAAATGACTACATATTGGAATCTGGTGTTTTTCTTTTTTTTTGGTCTCCTGAGGTTATTTGTTTGTATATAGAAGTTGTTGAGGACCAAATAATTGTTATTTAAGCCCTAAATAAAAACTTGGAATTGAGGGAAGGTGTACTTTCTTTTTCCCATGACTGTACATAGGGGCACTATAATTCACAAATTAGTAAAACTGCTTATAACCTTTTAAATGCTCAATATCAATCATTATTCATTCTTCATTAATCATATCTTCTTTTTGCTGATTTAGCTATTAAGGTGATTGCAAGTTGGAATAGAAAGGATCACGGTAATGGATTTGTCATGACAGTGACTTTCCCACTCATGCTCGATAAAATGGCTTCACTGAGCATGCTGAACTTTTTTGCTGGACATCACAAGTTATAGGGCATTGGAATAGTCACAGAATGGCAAAATGTAAAATGTAATCATTAACACAACATTTGACCTTAAAACTGCTGGAGACTAATGACAACCATGTGTGTGCCATCATGTGCTTACTAGCCTACCATTTGCTTTTGCATTAAGCATTTAATAAGTGTCACAATAGGACAAACTCATACATACTCTTAAGTGCACACAGAGAGAAACCTGGATATAAATATTGTGCCTACGCAAGGGAAGCACTGCTCGCACACTCCAGTTGCTGTATCCATTAGCCTCATTTATTAAACACAATTTGCCTTGTGTCATCGTGATGAGTAAATGCTGGGGTGTTAAGAACAAACAGCAAGACACATGGAGCTGACTCACGGAAATTAAGAGCCAATTAAGAAAAGATGGTTCCCAGACAACTGGTTGGCACTTGCGGACAGGGTGATGTCAACTTAATTGCTATTATCTGATCGATCTTTAATGGCGCTATTAAACACACACCAAGAAACTACAGGTTCCTATCTGAGGCTGGGCAACTGTAGGACATGTAGTTGCATAAAGATGCCATGAATTAATCAATGTGTTATTTACTCAAAGAAATATATTAATAAAAGCATATATTGGTGATCAACTTTACAGTTCATATTATTTCTTATTTGGTTTGATTTAATTTGTAAACAAATTGTTAGTCACTTAATTACTTGAAGGAAACCAATTGTCTTAATTCATTTTAATTGTCTCTTTACTTTATTAGTGGAGGCTAATGTGGTAATAGATTGCTGCTTCACAAGCAAATTAAGTCTCAATATAAGCCAAGGCAATTGATTTACCCAAAGTAGCCTTTTTGAGTGAATATAACAAATAGGATCTTAAACCAATGCACTGTTTCTGTGGAAAGGGAACATTAATTTGTGCCTTTGTTGACTTATAATATAAAATAAGTAAAATATAAAACATATGGTGCATCCAATATTGGAAAATTTGGAAATTGTTATTGTGATATTTGCCTTCGCATACTGTTATATGATGCTTCAGGGATGTTATTTTTATACTATTCATATGAGTTAGGACTTGCAAATGTGTTAAACAGTCCTGAAGTTACACTAGGGTTCCTGTAGAACCCAAGTGTTTGTGTGTATTGATAAAGGAGGATTCAGAGAGGAGACAGCCAAATTTTCCTTGGAGCTTCCAGCTCCCTTTATTGTACCACCCACACTTTTCAGCAGAAATTCATAAACAACACAATTACCACCAAAAATTCTATTCAATACTTTGTGACTTCCGCCTCGTTTAGGTTAAAACATGCTACATGCAGGTGCATGTGGGTACTGTTTTTATCTCTCTGGCTCACCAAGTCACTGCAAGACAAATAAAATACATTTAAGTAACCTTGTGGTAATCACACACAGGTGAGAATCATCACACGTTACTGAAGCTGAGAGACGTACAACACATTACACATATACACATTTTGTTGATGGGTTTTTAAATTATGTGAACAAGGATTTGGTTATGGCAAATTAAACGCCATCTCCTTGATGAAGCCATTTCCTGGTTGTCTAAGCGTAATGCAGCACATTTATTGAATATTGCGCATTGTTGAACAGGATGTGGTGCAGCTTGCAAGTGTGCAGTGCCTTGAAAAAGTATTTGCCTCCTTCCTGATTTGTTGTATTTTTGAATCTTTGTATTAATTGTTTCAGATCTTCAAACAAAATTTGTTAAAAGGGAAAGAAAAGACACACCCAGGCTTGCTTACTGTCTGGGGGAATTTACAGACCTGTTGAATATAAACATTATTTCTTTCTCACAAATCTTTCTGGAAAGGGTCACAAAGCCATTTCTAAAGAAGAAAACTTTTCTAATGAAGGAAGCCATTTTTAATGAAGGAACAGTGGTGAATCTTCCCATAATTGGCCGGCCTACAAAATGTCCAACAAGAGCGCATAGATGACTCATCCAAGAAGTCACAAAGAACCCAGAGGAAAATCTAAAGAACTGCAGGCCTTGTTCACCTCAGATAAGGTCAGCATTCATGATTCCACCATTAGATCTGATGAGTCAAAAGTGGATCTTTTCAGAAGACACAGGTCCCATTTTGTCTGTCATAAAAGAAACACAGCATTCCATAGTACGAGCATCATACCAACAGTCGAAAATGTTGGGGGTAGTGGGATGGTGTGGGGATGCTTTACTGCTTCAGGGCCTGGGTGACTTGCCATAACTGACAGAACCATGAATTTTTCTCTCTATCAGAACATCCTGAAGGCGAATATCTGGCCATCATCCATGATCTGAATCTCAAGCGCAATTGGAATATGCAGCAAGAAAGTGATCTGAAGCACAAGTCTACCTATAAATGGCTCAGTAGAAACAAAATTAAAGTTTTGGAGTGGCCTAGTCAAAGTCCTCACGTGAACCCCATTAACCTAGACCTTAAAAGGTGCAGTTTATGCTCGAAAGCCCTCCAGTGTGGCGGAATTAAAGCAATTCTGCAAAGACTGGGCAAAAATACCACAGTGATGTGAAAGAATGATATCCAGTTATCGGAAGCATTTAGTTGCAGTTGTTGCTGCTAAAGGTGGCACAACCAGTTATTAAGTTTACAGATGCAATTGCCTTTTCACATGTGTGATAAAGGTGTTGCATAATTTTTTTCTAAAATAAATGACATGATCATTTTAAAACTGTATTTTGTCGTTCCTCATGTTATCCTTATTCTACATTTTGTATGAGGATCTGAAACCATTTAGTGTTACAAATAGGCAAAAAGTAGAGGAAATTGGAGGGTGGGGCAAATACTTTTTCATGGCACTGTACATGTACTGTAAGCTAACATGATAGAAGGAATCTTTTTAGTTTCAATTAGATCTCTAATCGGATATTAAATTTTAGACCCAGGTGGCAGACCATAGCTAATACAATGCCATACAATAAATCCTGTATCCCAACCAGACACACTGTACCAAGCTTGCAATCTGCACCTGACTATAGGGCTTGGAAATGTGATATAAGGAGGTAATATAGGTGATATTTTGGCATAGTTAGTTAGTCATCTGGTCAGATACCCAGCCTAGCTAGTGGATGAGTTTTGACACAAGCCGAGTGATCTGAATGTTTGAGTGATTGTTGTAGCAAGATGTTGTAGCAAGAGTGATTGTTTGGTAAGCAAAAAGTATACTATATATTAAAAGAAAACTATGTACAGTCAGCTGTCAATTTAGCAGTTTCCTGTGTGTGATGGCAAAAGTTTCAGAGGTATTAACTGAATTTATCTTAAATATACATATGCTCATATGCTCTTAAACATAGTATGTACTTATTTTGACTGCCAATGTCAGTTAGGGTAAGGGTTAGGGTAACCATAGGGTAGGCCCTGGAAACCATAGTCTCTGCATCTCTTCATGCCTAAGCCTCACTCTGCCATGAACAAAGCTGAACCTATGTAAGCTGCTCAAATCAGCCTTTCTACTGAGGAGAAAGAATATTGTTGCAGGTTTGGATTATGCTTCTATTGTGGAAATAAGGATATCTTCTGTCTAGATGACACTCCCTTGAAGGGCAAACCTAAAACACTGAAATGTACAGCTGAAGCAGAACAAGAATTCCAAACCCTGAAAGACCACAGCCTCTATCCTTCATCAGCCTGACCCCTCTCTTCCATTCATTGTCAAAGCATCCGAGAATGGAGTGGGGGCTGTCCTATCCCAATGTCATGATAAGCCAGCCAAAATGCATCCATGCACCTTTTTTTAAAGACAGCTGAAAGGAATTATTACACTAGCCATGAAGGCTGACTTGGAAGAATGGCAACACTGGCTGGAGAATCCCTGTCAAGTCAGGTGGCCACTTTTCTTTACCTGCTTTAATTTTATATTAAATACATAGAATGTAAAAACCCTCAAGCTAAGCATGTTCCTGAAACAATTCTCCCTGAGTCATGTATTGCAGCCCTGGTAAACTGGGAAATGCTGAAAGACTCCAAAGGACCAGGCAAGAAAATGCATTGCCTTCAGAATTTCCCCAAGAAGACATGCCCCATTCCATGTGGAGCAATG